CACAGTCGAAGGCAGGCCCAGAGCCCTTAATATAAGGACAGGCGCCTGGCCCGACGCCTCAGCCTAGATGACTGCTCGCCTCAAGGAAGGTGCGTCCAGGGGCTGGGGGCTGGGGCTGGTGGGGAGAGGATGCTCAGGGGCCGCTCGGAACCATGCAGGTGAGGCATTGTGGGGACAAAGCCAAGAACAGAAGCCGGGAAGCTGAGGCCCCGGAAAGAGAAGTCTGGCGGACTTTTTGGGGACATAAGAGGGATACCCATGGCATAAGAGGGATACCCACGGATTCTGGGAAGGAGTGGGCGCTGGGCTCAGGGAACCTGCTTCGGCGACCCCGGCCTCAGCCTCCGCGGCCACGATTGCTCCCCAGGGCCTGTCCTCCTGGAACAGACGCATAAGTAATTTACGCCTTGCAAACAGAGCTGGGTGTAGGGGGCTTCCCATCCCCAAGGGCACGTGAATTGTTTTCCATAAATGGAGAGTGGAAAGCGTGGCCCTTCACAGTATTTCGGGAGCTTTATTGAGAAGCGTTTTGTTGGATGAGCTGATTGTCAGATCAGCCACCCTGCCATGCTGGTCACCGGGTGTTCTGGACATGAACAAGCAGACTTGGGGAGGGCCGGTGGGGGTCGAGGGCTACCCACTGTTTCTCCCTGGCCAGGCGTAGTGTCGGATGGTACGCACGCATCCTGCGTGCAGGATTCCTGTGTGTCTGAGTGTCAGCCTCGTAATTAAGAATCTGGCACCTGGTGGGTTGTCCCCTCTGAGGTGGCTCTGCCCTGCCTCTCCCAGGGCCTGGAGGGAAAACCTTCCTGAAGCTGTCATGTAACTAAGGACAGCACCCCGCCTGGGCACACTGCCGGGCTGGTCCTGAGCCTTTCCGAGGCTGGGGTTTTGCGTGTGCGTGTTTTGCGTTTGCCCGTGTTTAAACAAATTCACCTAAGACTGACCACAGGGAAGCAAACATGTCACGTTGGGTTTGAGCTGCCCAGTAGCTGATCGTGTCCTTTACTCTCCAGTGGATGCTTTGAGTGCTTGTTCCGTGCGTGCATTTTTACATGTTTGCACGTGCGTGTGCTGCCAGGTAGTGTGTGTGAGGAAGCCCAGCTCCCATGGGTGTGGAGACCCCACTTTGGGCTACAGCCTGGGGAGCAGAGGTGACCCCACCTTCTGTAGAACTCCCTCCCGCCACTTAGGCCCCCAAGAAGTGGTGAGAATCCTCTTATCAGCTCCGGCCCGTGCTGGACACTGGTGTGCCACCCACCAGGGAGAGAGCCTGGACACCTACCACCCTGGCAGAGTCTTTGAAGGGATCTCACATGGGCACCTGCCAGGTCGTTTGGCAGATCCAAGGCAGGTCTCTTGGGCCATGGTGACTAATCTTAAGTCCAGCTGACTCAGCAAGGATTCTGGGATGAAGGCCGAGGGTGGCAGAGGACAGGGCAGGGAAGAAGCCGCGTGTGTCGGCCTTGGTCCTGGCCCCGCAAACCCCCATCCTAACCCTGTCTCTCTACCCTCAGGCCCTGCTCCCCGTCTGTCTGCATCGGAACCGGAACCATGTGCGACCAGCAGCCCATTCAGTGCTGCCTGCCCCTCCCCCAGTGCTGCGTGAAAGGCTCCGCCTTCCGCTTCTCCCCCGCCCCCTATGCCAACAGCCAGGTGGTGGTCCAAGCCCCTTGTGACATGCAAATCGTGGAGTGCCCTGCGCCATGCCCAATTCAAGTTTCCGAGGTGAAGGGCCAGGCCCCGTGCCAGCCTAAGACCACGCAGGTGAAGTGCCAGGCCCCGAGCCAGCCTAAGACCACGCAGGTGACGTGCCAGGCTCCGTCCCAGACCGCGCAGGTGACGTGCCAGGCTCCGTGCCAGGCCCAGACCACGCAGGTGACGTACCAGGCTCCGTGCCAGGCCCAGACCACGCAGGTGACGTACCAGGCTCCGTGCCAGGCCCAGACCACGCAGGTGGCGTGCCAGCCTGAGGTTTGCTACGTGCAGTGTGAAGCCCCGGGCCCTGTTCAGACCTGCTACGTAGACTGTGCTCCAGCTTGCTACACAGAAACGTGCTACCTGCAATACCCGGTCCAGACCTACGCGCCCCGGCCAGCTGCCCGGCCCGTCCGGACTTACGTGGCCTGTCCCCCGGCGTTCCAGACTCAGGGGAGATTCTCCACCCAGTGCCAGTACCAGGGCGCCTACGGCAGCTGCGC